AAAAAAAACCTTACACATCACTTTGATGAGTATAAATGCGGTCAAATAAAGCTTCTGGTGCCATCCATTTTACTGGTAAACGACCCTATGCAAACATTTAAAGATTAGCAATAGCTTTGTCACTATTGTATTTTTGGTAGAATATGTGTTAGGGTAATTACATTTGTGGTCTTTTTGTAGTAGTCGATGTGATGAATATCACGGGCAAGACCAAAGTCGGCTATCTTCATCACATTATCTTCTGTGATGAGAACATTCCTTGCTGCCAGGTCTCTGTGAATACACTTAACAAATATAACAAATATTATTGTAGACATGTTAATAATTATAATTAAATAATCTGATGGTTATACAAACACACCTTTTTTGATGCAAGATATGCCATCCCTCTCGCCACCTGGTAAGCAGCAGACACCAACTCCCTGATTTCCAAACTGCCCAAAGAAGCATTCCTCGGGCCACTCCAGTATTCCAGCCCGGCAGGCCGCTGTGCCCGGAGATATTCTCTTAGGTTCCCCTGCTCTGCATACTCTACCACTACATACAATGGGCCTGTGAGGTACATAAGCAATATGAGCTCTCACTCCCTTGTATATTTAAATATAAGTAGCCACAATGTAGATGTATAACCTACCATCTTGAGTACAGGCCCCCAACAAGTTGATGATGTTTTTGTGTTTGCCAATTGTTTTCATCATTTCCATTTCAGAGATAAGGTCAGACAAGTCCTTTTCTGTGGCATCGGCTAGAGAAAAAGAGAGGAAAATGTACTGTTCATAATTTGGGTTTGAATCAACTATAAGTTTAGAGTGAGATTCATGCTTACCTTTGAGCATCTTTACAGCTACCTTTGTAACACGTGTGGGCTTGTTTTTATCAATGCCAACAGCTTCAGCCAGCACAACCTTACCAAAACAACCCTCTCCCAAAGGCTTCCCCAGACTGAGTCTAAAGTCGAAAAAATACACCTCTTTTAATGTCAATTCATGCAATTAGCAAAAATATAAAAAGAAGTGGAAGGAGAAAACATAAAGGATAGAGGTAGAGATACACAAACCTGTCACGAGGCAGTTCCCATATGGGATCATAAGGTAGTTCATACTCCAATACTCCAGTCAGAAGACTGGTGCCTGCACTGGATAAACGTGAATGTCTTATCAAAAACTTCCCTGACTGAAGAGAGGCTGAGTCCACTGATACCTGCAGAAACAGAAATGCAATGTACTGAAAGTAAACCCTAAAAAGAAAAGAAAACAAATATAGACACAAAGTTATATGTCACCTGTCTCCTCAGAGGAATGCTTTTGGCCAATTTCTGCACTGCTAACTGGCTATTAAAGTCACTTTTCTTGGGAGCACAGCACATACGACATATAATGGCTGTGGCAATAAGCATGACAATTATAAAGAACCCAAGGCAGTAGATAAAGATCTCCAAGTACGTCTGAGAAGGCACAGGGGAGGGAGGTAGATCTTGAGGAGAAAAGATGGAACAGCTTAGTAAATAATTAACAGACTTTCAAGGCAAAACAAGCATCAATTGTACAATGTTCTTGACTGTCTGCACGAACCATCGACTACAGTGAGCCATGCAGAGTGATGTGAGATGCCAATGGAGTTTCCTGCAAGGCAAGTGTACTCTCCAGAATCTTCTGCAGTCACATTCCTCAAAGTCAAGACCTCCATTTCACGATCAGTTGTGTTTAAACCAGCAGTCTTAAAAAAAAGAAAAGAAACATGCAACAAATGAAGCACAGAACATCTACAACGATATACTTCTTTAACATATACAAGTAAAGTACTTTGAGAACCAATACATATGGATGACCATCAGGTCCCTCCCTGCTGCCGTTTACTGTGATGTGTTTGAGCCACTGGATGTGCGGCTGTGGGTCACTGAATACACGGCAAACAAATTCCACATCGCTCCCAACCACTACTGTCTGGTTTGCTGGCAGCCCGGCCTGTAGGATGGGCCTATGAGGGGATCGCTCTGCAAAAGATCCATACATGTTCAGACAAGAAATCCAGGTTAAATTGAAGATAGAAAAAGTGTCACTTACCGACTACATCCAGCAGGTAGGTATGTTTAAGGCTGCCATGTTCATTTTCTACAACACAAGTGTAGTTGCCTTTATCGGATGGGACAACTGACTCCATTATTAAGGTCCACATATGATCTCTAATCTGGATAGGAAAAAAATTGAATTATTACATTATACATATGATGTGACACAAACATGACAGGATGTAACTCACTTTAAAACCCCCAATTCGCTGGTCTTTTCTGAACTCCTTTCCATTCTTGTACCAGTGCAGAGTTGGAGTAGGATTTCCAATTGCTTGGCATCGAAACTTAACGGTCCGACTGGCAGGAACAGCATGAAGTTGCTTCTCCATTTTCTCTGGCATTACCCACTGAGGTGCCAAAGCTAGTGAAAAATGTCCAGGGTAAACGGTAATGATATTATCCAAAACATTTTTTTCTAAAATGTTTTACTTAAATAAAATTTAAAAAAATAAAAAAGAAACTTACGCTGAAGCTTTTCATTGCTTGTTGACAATTCATTTGAGAGTTTGTTTTCCTCTGAAGAAGATTCATCCTCATCTTCATCTTCAGATGATTTAACTTGATCCACAAAAATAAAATGTGTGGATTAATTAACTTCTAACCCCTTGGTTTAACACAGTCAAAGAATCACATAAGATTTCCTCCTAACTTGCCCTGGCCAAGAATACGATTTACACAAATCACTCTATGACATAATCCTGTATTAGTATAAACAAAGGAACATGCACTACAATAAAACTACCCACTGGCACTGTAGTAGGTTTTGATACAAACATTTGTAGTGGCACAACAAAATGCACTACTACTATCCCAGACTAGTGGATTTTTAATGAGACCATTAGACACTTATGTGTCTGGTTAGCTGAGATTGGGAGACGTTTTACAAGAACTGGGCAGAAGTTACAGGGTCTTACAGGAATACTTCAAGGTTAACTGTTAACTTAAGTGTAAAAGAGCTATTACAAGTATATCAGGTCAACTGCAGAAGATTATAGACATTTGAGTGAGAAGTTAATGTAGGCTTTGTTTATTAAAAGGAACTGCAGGAATGAAAACGCATTTGATGAGCTGTAAAAAAAAACATAACAAAAACACAGTACATTAACTTGCACACAGCTGTAATCCAGATGTTGAAACCATAGACTGTATGGTCTATGGTTGAAACCAAACACATATACTGGTTTATATAATACATGCACAAACAGACCTTTAAATGGTTGGTAGAGGGATTGAGAGAGTGGATGCTTTTCGGAAAGTGAAAAAAAAACAAAAAACTGTTTGCACAAGAGTTGATTACCCACAGCCAGTACAGCTGTTAGTGTGCTGTCTGCACAGGATATAAAGACCATAACCAGCAGTCTATGAGCTAAGCCTTGGTTACACCAGGAAAAATAACCATCCAAAACCAACCACACCATAAAATGTTCTTCAATGAGGAAATTTTCTTTCTCATTCAAAATCTTTAAATAACGTGCCAACCACAACCAGTCACACAACCAAACACCTGTAAGAATACTGAAATAACTACAACCAGCACAGGGAGTTAGACGACAGGCTGTAAAAGCAAGACACTTTTGAACAAATAGCCTCACCTGTATCCTGGTCCTCTGGAGTGGGCCTGGACCAGACCTGACATGAGTGGGTCAGAAGTGATAGGAAGATCCAGCAGAGCACCAGAAAACAGCGGAGGGGAGACATTTTGCCCATAGGAATTAACACATCAGTCTGACAGACGCAATAAGCTTTAGAGAAAAAAAAAAGAAAGAAAGAACATGAGTATTACAAACACAACTATGTAAATTAGGCAAATGCTCACAGTACATATAATGTTAAGAGATTGCTGTTACACTATAGATCTAGCGAAAGATGCTCAGCAGAACTGCCCTACCCCACACTGTTTTCTTGCTTTAATGCCTTTGGCACTAGTGCAGCTGTTACCCTCAGAGGTGTAGAAAAAGTGATATGGTGCCAAACATTCACAACACTTAATGTTTTTCCCCCTGAGTTCACCTGTGACCACTAAATATCTGCTTCGTGTTAAAGAAAACATGGTAGGCGGCATGCATGCGACCAAAACAAACACACACGTACCACTACTTGCTCCAAGTGAAATACTTGCTTTCTTTAGCTGATATACATACAAGAGAGTGGTATAGGCCTGTAAAAACATACTGTCATTGTACTAGTTGATATGATATACTCATGTCTTTAACATTGATCAGATGACTGTATCATGACTATCCAGGATCTTGGCCCTCAAAATGTATCAGTGATCAGTTGCAGTTTATACAAGTAGATTAGTATTCTAAATGCTTAACATATATAAGTTATTTGTAGCAATAAGGGAATAGTGGCCAAACTTGTAGTCCTGAAACAAGCTGAAGCCTGTGTGTAGTGAGCAGTGTTGGGAGTAACGCGTTATAAAAGTAACGAATTACAGTAATGCATTACTTTTTGCTGTAACGCAGTATTGTAAGGCATTACAGGGGAAAAAATAGTAATATTTTACTCGGTACAAATGTGAGTAACGCGCGTTACAATGTTTTTTTTTTTTTTTTACCTGGATTGAAGTGGTGTTTTTTTCTTCATACAAATTCGCTAAAATCACCTCGATATCAGCAGCGGTGAAACGCCGGAGATGCGCCCTCGTAGACCTTCAGGTAAAAAGGAAGGACTGACAAAGAACTCCACGCTGTTTAGACCTGGTTTAGACCTGGGTCAGTTCTGGTTTAGACCTGGTTTACACTCGTCCCTCCCTCTATCGCAGTTCACTTTTCGCGGTCTCGCAGATTTTTATTTTTTTTGTGTGCAATTTTGCATGCCTTTTTTTTTTTTTTTTTTACATTGTATGAATGCGTATTGCGTTCCTCCCGCTGCGTCCTGACTGGCCAAGGGACTCCTGTCTCCTGTACAGTACAGTACAGAATGTGTTCAGCTGCCAAATTTAAATACATGTTCAATCTCTAGCAGTGTGATTCTGAAGTGCTGTACGGTTGCAAGTTTTCTCCCCGACGAAACCCACAACGTCGACGAAACGTTCTGCACCGACAAAGGCTCCTGCGCTCGCACCCAAAAGGCAAAGGAAGATGCAAACCATCACACAAAAAGTTGGACTTCTGGACACGCTGAAGGAAGGTAGAAGTTACGTGCTGTAACAGACTCTTGCACCGGCTCGGGTACCTGCAAATAGTTGCTGAAATCAGGGCCGCGAGCCCGAGCAGCAGGGTCCATAAAGAGCGATCGGGCGACAGCCGCTCTTACCTCCGTGAGGTGCGGAGCAGAGCCGCTCCTTTCTCCTGCGGTCACCTTCGAGCCCGTCCCTACAGTGAGTCCTGTTTTAGTCCTAGTTCAGTTCTGGTTTAGTCCTGGTTCAGCTCTGGTTTAGTCCTGGTTCAGTCCATATACAGCGCAAAAGTTATTTTGGTGAGAGTAACTTAAAGTAATGCAATAGTAATGTAATGCCTTACATTTTAAATGCAGTAATATTGTAATGTAACGAATTACTTTGAAATGACAGTAATAGGTAATAAATAACGCATTACAGTTTCAAAGTAACTTGCCCAACAGTGGTAGTGAGGGTTGTGTCCCAAGTATGATGATCATCAGACAGGAGCATGCCTGTATTATGATGACATAATTACTACATAACATAAGGTCTACACAGCTCAGTGCAGGCCAAGTCTTTAATTAAGAGAGATTCCAGGTAGGGAGAGCTCTTTGATGCCAGAAGTTTAGAACATATAGTCATGTAGGCTATACAAGTCCAGGGGAAAATATTAGGTGAATCGGATCATGAGTAATTCATTATGAAGTTTGTAACTGTAGCTAAAATTTTATAGTAAAAGACTGTATACCCTGTTTTTCATTTGTTTGCATTTGTAAGATGTTTACAAAAATCAAATATAAATAAAATTGTTAATCTTCTGCTTACTTGTGATTTCATGTTTCTGATGCTTGGGCCACCACCACTATAGACTCTGTATTCCACTGACAATTTTAAATCACTGCTGTTGTACATTTGTACAACTGTTGTCCTTTTCTGATTTATTCCACAGAAGCTCAGAATGACCCAAGTCAGGAAGAGGTGTCCTGCTGAGCTAAGGCATAAAGGTAAGGCCCAATACAAGCCATGGGCTCGTGATGGGAGACATGCAGATGAAGCAAAGGTGTGAAAACCCAGCACCTTCTTTCAGAGCATTTGAATGCTAACAAAGCTTTTTTTGTATGTCAGAGCTGGAGTACATAAGAAAACTGGACTGTTTGCCAAAAGCACACTGTTTGGTGGGAAACCGTAAATCATTACTGACTGCAATAAAAACATATTTAAGTATAGTGACGGGACAATGTTAAAATTCAAACTCAGCATGGACTGCAGATATGAATTACAGTGAAATAAGAGTTACCACAACCATGCATTTGACGAGTCCCATTCTTACACAATAGCTATTGGTGTAGAGTAGAACGTACCCAAACAAAGATTAGTAAATTTGTAAACTAAAATCTGGCGTTTTCTATTGCACAGGCATAACATAATAATAGACAGCGGTACATAAACAGAAAAGTCAAGCAGCACTGTAAAGATACAGACAGTCGCTTAGGGCATGTGATAATCTACATTAAGCGCTCACATCCGCACACTAAAATATATAATTATAAAGAGAGCTCACCTCCACGTTTTACAGTGTCGACACCACACATACACACACAAAAAGTAGGCTGTCCAATGACTTCAGTGTGTCCCGGGACAGGATCAAATAAATCAGTTACACCGAAAACATGGACATTTTCAACAGTTTTCCCCTAAAAATACTCCCAAAAACTTTAAAGGCAATTGTCTTCGCTTAGTTTTTTCGTCCACGTGAGTCTGCGTCGGACACACGGCTACAAACGTGGGAAAGTTGCCGTTCATTGACGGTATTGTGCGCATAAAGCGCACGGAGGAGTACGCCTCCAGTGGGTGTTTCCTGGAAAGGCCCCCGCCTCACTATTAGATCCCCTGTCCCGTCACTTCATTGACTCAATTTCTCGGTGTCGCAATCACATTTCAGCGCTCATCACGCGCACAGGCCTTCAGAGACCAGACAGCGCATGGCCGAGTGCGTGCGTGTGTCTGTGGTCTGTCCATGCATAACCCCCGCCCCTCCACAGCTTTCCCTCTTTTTGCTGGAGCAGGAAGAGGAAGGATTTCCTCTGCTTTCACTTCACGCTGTGTCTAGGCTTTTGGGGCTTTTGGAGGACTTAACTGTTGATTTTGTTCAAATTCTAAGTCTGCCCCCTCTCCCAGTGATCACAACGAATTCATTCCAAGCGTTGGTTCACTTGTGTGCACTTTCCATGCACGTCTTGGCTTATAAACAGGAACTCCACGTTAATAAATAACTTTTATAACTTACCGTGATGTTACACGCATCATCACTCAGTATTCAGCAGGCCTATTTTGCTTTGTTCAGAGACTGTTGATGCTGCAAATGCGGCAGCCACTGTCCTAAAGAATGGCATCAGGGGAATTAAATAACAAAAGTACAGCAGCACCAAAGGTCAGTTCTAATCTGGGGAGCGGAACCCCAATGTGGGCCCCCAAAGTAGCTCAGGGGCAGTGGGCTGGGCGCTTTTGTTGTGGCTACTGTACTGCACGCATCGCATAGCCTATAGGTTAGGCTTAACTGCATTTAGTTGTCTTTGCTGCTCCAAATAAAATAAATGTATACCGCGATAGGGTTATAAACATTTGGATGAAGTTTGTGAGTGCCTTACTCAGATTCCCACACAGTCATCAGCTCTGTGACATCAGCAGCCCTCAGCTCCGGCTTTACAGAGACAGGGAGACTGTCCCTAGATGAATTCTGTCTTTGTCATGGACACACTGGCTAATGTGTGTTTGAGAGTGTCAAGCTATGAACAGTGCTTGAGTTTGTGCGCAATGTGCAAATGCCTCCAAATGCGTGGGCTGATACAGCAATCACACTAGGCATACTGTCATGTACTCTCCTTAACAGGCGCACATCTAGATGAGTGATAAACATCTGACAGTGACTGTTCACTGCAAATAATGATCATATAATTATGTCAATCAACACAACTCTTATGTCAATGATAATGTTGACAGAACAAATGATATAGTGGTGAAACGTGGTCATAGGGAAAACAGAAAGACCATGTCTGTTCCATTAGATATTTATTTAGGTCAATTATCTCTTAAACTTGAGTGCTGCGTGATGGTCGAGCTGTGACAAAATTATATTCAAATAAAACTGTTTGTTGTATAGCCAAGACACAGAGAAAATAAACAGTCTTCAAATTACAAAATCAATGTGTATTAGAGATAAACAACCATTTTGATGTAACAAAGGGGAAGGTAGACATTAATCGATCAATAAAACAACATATAATACACAACTTTATAATGTTAAATATGCTTTGCAATATAATCAGTGCAGGAATGCCCACATCACAGAAAAATATTTGGACACTCCCTAAAGTGAACTAGGCAGATCCCATGTGTATTTGCGCCAAAGCCACAGTCGTCTGAGCCCCTGCCCAGAGGACTGTGTGACCTTATTCTACCACACATCAGACACACCCACAAGTTCTGCTATGGTCCCCAGCACTGGACACACCAAACCAGAGCTGAGTATGCCAACCAAATACTTTCCTGTATTATACTGTGCATGAAAATGGTCCCTATTAAACTCCCTCACTCTTTCTTTTCCATTACAATTAAAAAGTAGATTCTGAGATCTGACAAGATCCAGCATTGATAAACTGACATATGTGTTAAGTTTTCCCTCAAATGGCGTAGCACTGATGGTGGTAAAGAGAAGGAGGTCTGGTTGGAACACTGAACTTAAAACAAGTGGGAGAGAGTGCTTTTAAACACTTCGATCACAGAAACCAGTTTGTAAATAAGAGCTAATATGACCAGATGTGTCACAGGCTTGAAGCAGCTCAGTTACAGAGCCACATTTTGTCTGTAGCATGGACAACACTGCAGTTTAAGTGAGGATTGTTCAGGGAATCCCTTGCAATGGCTTGACTAAAGATGCAATTTGTAGCTTTTCTGGTGGAGGTCTGGTCCTGCTTGATATTGCTTGGAAAGTTTAACAATATGACATTAAAATATCAGGGCTAGACCTGTGGAGAGATATAATAGCATAGCCAAATTATCACAGTATTTTTTTTTACAATACAATCACCATGTTAGATAGTTCAATTACACAGTAAAAAAGAAACAGCTGGCAGACCCTCAATCAGAAAAGTTACATAGTACACCTTTAGGACAATGTTATAGGTGCAATGTTATAGCCTGGCACAGTGCTAAAGAGTTTCTTCTGTTTCCAAGGATTGAATAATCTAACTCAAAACCACAGGGAGCTTGTTGCAGCTCTGTTTTTGGTTTTTGTGGTGTATGGGTGGGACAGTCCTTCTCTCCACAAAACTCCTTTCAAGATTAACATAATTTGTCCAGGTATTTTGTCTTCTTTTTTAATTTGGTAATCTTAGTTCACTTCTGAAACAATAAATAAACATAAACATTTATATGTAAATCATGAACAAAACATACTATACCAGTTCCATCCACACCATGAATCGTACACTCAGACACCTTTAAACTGCCCTTGAGAAAAACAGTCACGCACAGACTGCTCCCTCTATAAAAAAGACATGGATTGAGACTAAGACAGACACACCACAAACGGAGGAATGTGGAGTTTACATGGGCAGCTTTATTTGGCTGGAGGAGAGCGTTTTCTCATTCAGCTCTGAAAGCCACATCCCCAGACACACATAGACCTACACACAAGCACACCCACGGTCACATAAGAAATATAGCAGCACAACACCCCCACACTGTAAGGTCAGCAAATAGTCATTAGAATGCACCATCTGTTACCTTTTAATGTTTGTGGTGTCAATATCCTGTGTGCAGCATCCTTTCCACTTGAAATACAAAACATAAAATAATCTTTATAGTGAGATTTTATAGGATCTCCAGGATGGAGCGGTCTATACTATGGATAAATAGGTTTCCAGACCAAATCTCATACAGGAAAGCCTACCTACATCTTAAGCAAGGACAGGCACATTGAGCAGGCACATCGCAAGCTCTGAATTATATCCTATGAATCTCTTAATTAATTTGAGGAGGTCTAGCATTTATTTATTTGCATTTAGCACAAATATGTTTGATGACATCTGTTCATGTGCTATGTACAAGACAAAGGTGTCGATTTGAGGCCATTGTCCACACATAGACTAGTCTCACCCCTAGACAGTGGGATTTAAATTGTTTAAATCTTTAAGCTTTAAGTGCCCTCAATCAACTCAATATGAATGCTATTAATCAACCACATTTATTAGGAAATGCCAAGAGACAGCACTACATTTATAAATCAGATGTATTTATGTTGTGTATTGTCTATTGAAAGCACACATGTATAAATAATCAACAGTCATTAGCACGTTGTGATCATAGACTTTCTATACAAGTCTCTACACAAAAACAGACTCTACAGTCTCAGTTTGTGATGAGTAGCGCCATCTGCTGTTCTACAAGTAAGCAACATACAGGTCTTGATGGAAACTCCACAATAAAATTAGCACCACAAAAATAAATCAAGCCAAGGCAAAATAGTTTACAATGAATAGCTGCATGGTTCAGTAGCACTGACATCGTGGATAGAAAAGGTTACATACACATGGTTTCTTTAAGAATGAAACCTTCACTGGACTTGAGGTGTCTTGATTCTCATGTCTAAGAGAAATAGTCTTTGACTCAATAAGAAGCTGCACTATGTACTTTTTCTGATGTAGGGTCAAATGTTCTTGCGTTCCCTGGAATGTTATGCTGTAAACTTATCTAAATGTATCTTTTATTTAATCTCTTCAATTCCTGGCATTTTATTGCAATAAATGACAAGATTTTAGTGGAATTACTTGCTTGCCTCCATGGATATGTTGATAGATTTTATGTAATTTTGTAGAACATTCCAGGCTAAAATACATCATATCCTTGGAGACCTTTAATTTTAATAAAAACAATACTTTTTTCATTATATACTCTTTACTTTTCATTGTACGGTGTGAAAAACAGGATGGCCAATATTTGTAGTTTGGTGGCGACCAATACTTTCCTTTTTGAGCAGCACAAGAAGATTCAGCGCACACTCTGGGACATGTGCAGAGGAGTGAGCATCTCCTCAAAGATGGCGCCCTTCACATTGGAGCCTCTCAGGTTTGCCTCCTGAAGGTCACATCCAGATAGGTCACAGTTCTACAAGAATGTATTGTATTTAGTATCATATGATGTTATACATGACTTCATTTAATAATGCAAATAAACAAATCATTTACTGAACATTTACCTCCAGGTCTGTCCCAGCCAGTGTGGCTCCTCTTAGATTACAATTCTTTAACTTGGCATTTTTCAGTGTAGCAACTCTTAGGTTAATACCTGTCATCTGACTACCCTCCATGTCCACACCTTTGAGATTGGCTCCTATGCAAAACCAATTTTCAGACAGGTTGTTCTCTTCAGGTTTTATCTCAAACAGTAACAACATTGATAATAACAATAATATCAATACCAACCTTCTAGATTAGCTTTGCTTCCAGCAGGATCTTCAAAGTTACAGCCTTTGAGAGATGCCCCTTCAGCATTAGTGCAGAGCATTTTCACTCCTTGAAGATTGGCACCCTAAGCAGCAAGAGTTAATAGTAAAACATGTCAATAAGCCAGCAGTAAATTATAGTACTTTACCCATCCAGCTCTACATTTCCCATATATGTTAAAGCACTTACATCCAAACAAGCCATTGAGAGGTCTGCCCTTTCCAGATTTGCTCCACTTAGGTTAGCATTCATCAAATTAGCTCCTCTTAAATTGGCCATCTTAAAGTTAATATAGCGCAAATCAAGGCGAGACAAATCTGCACCATTGAAATTCAGACCCTGACAGAACAAAATGCTTAATTAAATTAATTTTGTAGCTTTCAAATATGGTTTAAAATGTAAAACTTAATATGAACCTGACAGCGTAGCTCAGCCTTAGTTGTTGTGGCTAATAGATATCTAATAAATTCCTTCCGGGTCAAAGGTGAGTGGTCATCAGGAGACTGAGTGGACTAAAGAGAGATTCAGGTGAACAGGAGGATAAATACAGTACACTCTAAGAAATCCTCCAAAATACCTTTATGTGGGTCTCAATTTGTTCAGCCAACTGTTCAATGCCAAAAAATCGAGCTTCCTCTAATACACCTGAGAAAAAGAAACAAATATGAATATTTACATCAATATAAACAGAATCGACCCAGGCTTAACTAAGTGTATAACTGTTATACCAAGAGGATTGATGCCTTCGTTGATGATGAGCTGCCCATGTCTCAAGTAATTAAGGATAGGCTCAAAGTAGTCAGGACTTCGATCAATAAGAAAAGCTCCCTGTGAGTCCTGCTTGTTGCCCCACACATCTCAAAATTTATCAAGAAAGAAATAAAAGGTAAAAATTTTAATTTTGTAGAGTTAGGGCAAAAGTTTTTACCTTTTTCTCTGAACATATGAGCTAGCATGCTGTCTGGTTCTTTACTGACCAATGTGCTCCTTAAAAAAATCAAAACAAATGTGACAAAATCTGTGCTGGTGTCTCACATGGCAGTGAATTAAACCTTACCTTGTGGTGGTGAAGCGACGTCCGCCAACGTTAAGGGTCAACCAATCGGTGTGCATCTGACCACCCTCGGTTGCCTTTTGTTCCTCCTCTGGCTCTAAGATGTAAAAGAGTAGTAATAACACTGCTCACTTCTGAAATTGTACAATGCGAACATTCAACTGCTACAACACTAAATGGCATTATACCTTTGAATACCTCGCCCTCTGATATGTAGAGTACGTCATCTTCTCTGTATAATGAATGAAAAGATATTATATAGAATAAATGACTATGGAAAATGTCTAATGCACTTACCGTATAATTGTTATGTCGTCAATAAGACCACCATTTGCATTGTAAACACAGGAGGCCTTAATGCCCAGTTTAGAGCTGGCAACAGACAAGAGATCGTCCATAGAACCGTAAAAAGCCACCACCTGTTTGCATCAAACACACATTTGATTTATTTTTTACTTTGCATGCAAAATGCTTAAAGCAGTTTGCACGTAATAGAAATAGATAAATATCTACGTGGTTGAATAACATGATTTCCAGTTATCTACCTTTCCATTGGTATTGGACCCGTTGACAAAGAGTGTAACCCTTCTCATGATCAACGAAGTTGAAAATTAAACTAAAGTGATGGTGGTTTTATATCATGAAAGATTGTAACATGTTTTGGCTACATCCACGAGCACTCCCTTCCTCTTCCTCTACTCCAGTCTGAAGTCTTCCGTATAAAAGCACTAGCCAATAAAAGAGAAAGAAAGGACAACCTATCAACCTATCAGCTAACAAAGGAGGCGGGCCTTCTAGCCCGAAGTGCGTCCACGAAAACTCCTTGTTTGCTTTGTTTTGTGTTTACATATCTTTAAAAATAAATAAATAAAATAAAACTTTCAAGTTCAGAGATGCACATATATTTCCATATAGAAAGAATAAGGATGAGGACACTGGGGGCCTGCTTCATAGAGCTTCAGTAATCTCTTCGGGTCAAATGTGTTCATGTGTGCAATAAAAGCAGGCTGGCAGCTCTCAAATACTGTTACCTGACTTTAAAAAAAAAAATTCAAAGGAAGCAATGGAAATGTATATGAAACATCTTTAATTAAAATTGCTTTACACTTGATAACCTAGACTACACAAACAACTGTTTAAATAGCTTAATTATTACAAATATATTAAATATATGAAACGTACAGGAAACAAATTAATTTTCACTGTCCTCTGTGTCCTCTTCTCCTCCTGTACTCTGTGCTTCTCTTTTTGGGTAGTTGAGTATGTAACGATTGGCTTGAACAATGTACTGTTGCTGCTTGAAATATATTTTCAATGCTCCTTTAATTAATGTGAACGCTATCCCACCCTGCGTGAAATTGGAAACGCAAAATTACAGTTAGCAGGAAATAAAAACACAAAACATTCAGTGTAACACACACTCACAAGTGCTGTACGCTGAAAATTAGAAGATGCTCCACGAAACAGCAGTTTTCCCATTAGACTGGCCACAGAAGGGAAAATAAGAGCTCCACATAGAGTGCGGGACACGGAGATATGATCCGCTGAGCTTGTCCCATCAACAGAATGTTGGGGAGGTATATAGCGACTGGAGCCTGGAATGACGGGTACAACAAAGAATAAAACATAATGACATTTGTATGTACATCTTTTTATGGACCAACATATTGACATTTTTATGCATTACCAGCTGGGTAATTCCGATTGTAGGAATATCTTTGCCAGAGTCTAACTATATAGTCCTCCCAGCGGATCATTTTGCTCAGGACAAGCAGCACAGGAATAGTAGGTAAACCCATCAAAAGGAAAAGGGGGTCTGCCCGCTCCATCACACATAGACCTTTCTTATGCCCAACAACCTGTATTAAAACATACATAGTTAATGGTGGTTTGTTTAAAGGGACAGCGGACAATTTAATCAACTGTGTGAAATCTTTAGACCTGCATGACTGTCACGGCACCATATGTAACAGCAGACCAGTATGCAGTGCCCATTACTACTCCAACAGCAGCAAAAGGACTGATACGAGTCAAGGCACGATCTATTTGCTGTAGGAAATATACCAGTGCCCCTAGAAGAGATTCAACATTCAGTTTACTTTGCATAACAAGAGACCTACACAAGAGATGTAGAGTGCTAGGGGTAGGGTGCTATCTCTTTTACTTACCCATGTTAGGAAAGACAATTTGATATTCAGTACCACACTGTGGACAGCAGACTACACTTCCAACATTTCCTTTTTGCTTCTCATCGAGCCACCGCTGAAGGCATTCTTGGTGGATCCATTTCGTACACCCTTTACATCGGCATGGGCTCACCCACTCTGAACTGTAGTCATCATTTTCAGTGGCAAAACAAACCCAGCAGTGTCTGAGATCAAAACAAAAGGAATATTGCTGAATACCATATTATGTATCAATATTGTAATTATTATAAATGTGTATAAATGTATGTTTTTGAAATGTGAATATGCATCACACCAAGGGGCTGCCTTGTAAGGATCCTATAAATGTAATTTAATTAGACAAAACAATGCAAATGAGAAGACGAACTTTTCAGTCTGCTCCTCCGAATTGGCCATGGCAGTCGACGGTCCTTGCTACCTGAATTCCATCTGAAAAGACAAATGCAACGTATTTTTTTTACACAAACACAGAGACTGTAAAAGTAAACTTTAAACAACAATAGCTGATTGCTGACTCCAAAGTCCAAGCCTTGGGCTGACAGAATCTACAACTCGACTCTACAAATGAGGCTAAATTTACCCTCAAATTCCAAATGACAAGTGCTAAATATGGCCCTTACAAAACATGTAGTTCTACTAAATATTCCACCACAACAACAGGTTCACTGTGTAATCTTTAATTGCGAGGGAATCAAGAAACAGAGCAATTTTATATTTAACAAACCGAAACTAAACCTACAGCTGTCAACAATCTTGTTAGACTACAAGAGAGTAAAATAACGATTTAGGCGCGATTTAGACGCTATATAAAATGCTGTTAAATTGTAGCAGAAATAATATTACGTACATAAACTAACCCAAACTTCTACGATCTACCCAAACTTCGATCTCAGTTGTTGTCTGACTTGAGGACAGGAGCAGATCTATGGAGCGGACCGTAGCAGACCCGCCTAGTGTATTTCCGACAAGAGTCTGATTGGCCAATGACAATGAAACAATTTAACCTTTTTGCAAAAATATTGTTCACGCATAATAAATAAATATAATATGCATTTAGTCACTAAACGCTTTTACTTTTTCTCTTACAATAATTAAAAATAATTTTAATGACAGCAGTGACTTTCTAAACTGCCTAACTTAGATCTGACATTTGCTAATATTATTGGCTAAAATTCACGCCACTCAATTATTAACCAATCACAATACTGTTGTGGTAGATGGGCGGGCCTACCCACGGTCTACACAGCGCAGTGGATCAGCGACAGCGTCGAGGCTGCTGCTCGGTGCACAGTGACAGGGCGTTATCTTTATATAATTAAAACACAAAACGAACAGATATAAACTCGTAGACCGATAGAAAGCGTTCTTTACCACTCTATCCGTAATGGATTCCTATGACATTTTAGCTAACCAACCGGTTGTTATTGATAATGTAAGTATGGTGATGTCATTCATCCACACCCTACTGAGGCCGATGTCTGGCGATGCTAGCAAGTATCTAGCTGGTGTAGCTATTGTGTTATGGGTTGCAATACTTTCGTTATTACCCCAGGCATGTTAAAAAATCTTATGCTTACTGCAAAGAGCAATAGCGGTTTTCTCTAAATGCGGTTATTGTGTGTCTATTTGTGTTGAGCTGAAGGAATTATGCAGGAATCAATCAATGGCCCCAGTACTGAAGCTAATACAGAAGCTAACAATTTCAACCGGTCAGCTTTGCTTGTTGCTTCATATCACTTTAATGCTTCATATGAGGGTATTGAGTTGTTATTAGCTATAGACTTTCAATTTAAGACACCAGATGTTAACGTTGCCATTATCCTATCCATATCAGTAGAAAGCTCAAAACAAAGCGGAGTATGCTGTTTCTTTCTAACCCACAGTTTAGAGTTTGATGATCAGGATAATTTGGCAAAACCTGGTACGACACAAACGCATTTCAAAACACCTTGTAGTGTTTTGCGCATAAGCTATTTTATTTATATGTGCTCACAGGGTATCCCACTGAAGCTGAACTCGGGGTTGATGACTGTTATTGGCCTTAGGCTGTGTCTCATGACCTTCCCTTTTGTACAACACAACCGGACCTATTATAATACATTTTCCTAGATTCTGGTTTTAATGAATATCTGTCTTTTGTAGGGTTCTGGTGTTATTAAGGCTGGTTTTGCAGGTGACCAGATACCCAAATACTGTTTTCCTAATTAGTAAGTCTATATCATTCTCATTCTTAACGACAAAACTCCATAATATTATAAGTACATTAAATTTGTATTCTAATTCTATGCTAATGTGTACTTATTTATGTACGTTTTCCAGTGTGGGACGGCCAAAGCATGTTCGTGTGATGGCAGGAGCACTGGAGGGTGATCTCTTCATTGGACCCAAAGCAGAGGTACCAGAAAGTCTGAATTAAATCACATTAAATATTAACTTTTTTGATAGCATTTGATGACGTTTCTTTATGCCCTGTGGTGATCCACTCTTTGCAAATGTGGCATTGGTTTTAGGGCTGTCAAAGTAAAACTGTTATTGACACACATTTCTTTTTAAATGTATGTAATCCTCACAGGAACACCGGGGCTTATTGTCAGTGCGATATCCAATGGAGCATGGCATTGTAAAAGACTGGAATGACATGGAAAGGATCTGGCAGTATGTGTACTCCAAGGAGCAGTTGCAGACTTTCTCTGAGGAGGTGAGTTTATTTTTCTGAAATTAATTTAGATGGTGCTTGAGCATGATTAAATAATGGAGTTATTTGTCTTTTAGCACCCTGTTCTGCTGACTGAAGCTCCACTAAATCCCAGTATTAACAGAGAGAAGGCTGCAGAGGTGTTCTTCGAAACCTTTAATGTTCCTGCTCTCTTTATCTCCATGCAAGCAGTACTTAGCCTGTAAGAAAATTACTAATCATCAAAACCTCATTTTTATACTTTTTTGTAAAAAACAAAAAAATGACTAGTCGGGGCATAAGCTAGTTTGTGTTTCAGAATGTGTAAATTGCCTCAGTAATTTGCCATCTGTGAACATGGCTATATATAGGGCTTGATCATTTTAGGAAACTTGAAGACAACTATACAACTGACCAGATTCAGCCCTGTAAACTGAATCAGAGCTTTTCATTAAAAGAGAGGTGACTGAGGTAATGGCGACAAAACATTGTACATTTAAATGTTATTTTCCCCAGATATGCTACAGGCCGCACTACTGGTGTGGTATTGGACTCTGGGGATGGAGTGACACATGTTGTGCCCATTTATGAGGGGTTTGCCATCCCTCACTCAATCATGCGAGTTGACATTGCTGGAAGAGATGTTTCACGGTACCTGCGCTTGCTCCTGCGCAAAGAGGGCTACAACTTCAACACCTCTGCAGAGTTTGAAGTTGTTCGCACCGTCAAAGAAGTAATGTGATATCATATTTGTATAAAATATTCAAAATGGACTAATATTAACAGTGACCGTATATGCACAGAGGGCCTGCTATCTATCTCTAAATCCGCAGAAGGATGAGACTTTAGAAACAGAGAAGGCACAGTATGTGCTGCCTGATGGAAGCACTTTAAATGCAAGTCTGACATGATTATTGAACATATTCATCTGTCATGCAATGTCGTTATTGTAACTTTATACATTTAACCTTATTTGCAGATTGGTCCTGCTCGGTTTAGAGCTCCAGAACTGCTGTTTAGACCTGACCTTATAGGAGATGAAAGCTCAGGCATTCATGAGGTGTTGGCTTATGCCATCCAAAAATCTGACATGGACCTCAGACGAACTCTCTTCTCCAACATAGTATTATGTGGAGGATCCACACTCATCAAAGGTTAGTGTCTGCAAAAACATTAACTTATGCTATTGTGACCGATAGGATGGAAATGGGGATGGAATTACTGTTTTTGACTTGTTTTGTAATCTCTATTTTAGGTTTTGGAGAAAGATTGCTAACTGAAGTCAAGAAGCTTGCACCAAAAGATGTAAAAATTAAGGTAGTGGCGCATTTGGATTCATAGCTAATAGTTGTTGTTTTTTTTCTGAGAAGCACTGTGGACACCATTAGAGCTGTGATTAACTTCAGAAACTTGAGACATGGACATAAATAACCTTGTTTTGTTTTTTTATATTAATAGATCTCTGCTCCTCAAGAGAGGCTTTACTCCACATGGATTGGGTAAGAGAAGGTTTATGTAAATTCGAATAAGGATTAGTTAAGAGTTTTATAACCATGTTGTTGTATGTATTATTCACTTTTAGTGGGTCTATTCTGGCATCTTTGGACACCTTCAAGAAGATGTGGGTGTCAAAGCGGGAATATGAAGAAGACAAAGCACGTGCCATTCACAGGAAGACCTTCTAGACTCCAAGAACTGCCGCTCAAAATTCTGATATCAGACCGTCGGAGACTCCCCATTTACTGCACTTGTCATCTCCGGGTACCATCTATTATGAGCTCAGCAGGATTCCAACTACTGTTGGCTCATGTTTTACCTCAAATCCCTTTCTTCATTCATTTGTGTCGGTTCTGCTCAAGCTTGATGGTTGGACCATCCTAAATATACTAAAAAGGGCCATGAAGGTAACTCTGAGGTCATGGCGCTGTGGACGCTTGTTGAAGATTATTGCATATTTGGTCCACTTCAGAATATTTTTGTTGATATTTTGCCTTCAGGGCCTCACAATGTGTAGAGATTTTTTTTTTTTTTTTTTTTTTACTGTTGGTCCATTCCAGTCCTAAGATGTTTTTGTTTGCTTTTGTACTCTGGCAGGGAGTTATTAGTTAAAGTATAAAGTTTTAAGTAATACTGCTCTGGTATGTGATTAACCATTGTACTATATCAGATCCAAATTGCACATGCATCATTGGTGAAAAAACTGTAAATGCACTTCATAGTGCCCTTACCAACAAATTTTTTCATTAAAATCACCCTTCTGTCCTTTTAGTAATTTTAAGGTTTCTGTACCTTAATGTCATCTTTTGATAAAGGCCTTTTTATTCAACTAAAGGATTTGATGATTATTGTTTACAGTGATACAGCTGAGATGTTGAACACATACAACTCCCAATTGGTATTTAGAATCTATTTAACTTCTTCCTTTTGTTTAGCATGTTGTAATGTTTGTCTACAGACAAGCTGACGCTGACTGTAAAAATGTGGTCACATAAATCCAATTGACTGAGATTTCTTTTTGTATAACTCACTTTTCACTGTTTCCAAATCCATATTGTATGAGTACAATATGAGAGTGGCATAAGAGGGGTCCTGACCTTAGTTCCTGGGGTCTGCCTTATTCCAGTATTGGTACTGGAGTGTCCATGTCTACTTCATAGTCATAAGCCTCATATACAGTGGAATGCGTTTCAACCAGAGCCACTATCAGACAGCATAGGGTGACGACTACAAATGTACAAAACGTGTTTGCTTTTCTTAAATTCAATATAATAAATAAGTTAATGGCTAATGCTTGAGTTTTTGGTCTTTATTTTGCACATATAAAAATAACATCCCTAAAATAAGTAGCATAGAAACCTAAGGAAATTAGTGAAAGTTAGTCTACGCCAAAGGCAATCATAGCCACCAGAGGTCAGTGTAACCACAAAAATCCAAACTTACAGTTTTTTTCCTGTGTAAGTGGATTCTTAACATTGGTTGATTAAATTAACAGTGACACATAGTTTATCATTGGTCAGTGTCTATAGATGGTTAATAACTTTCAAGGCAAATTTCATATGTAGTCTCAGTGGATACAAATCTTCCCTGAGGCAGATTCATGTCCTTACTTCACCTCCACTACTCTCCCCAAAGCCTGACAATGTCTATGTACAACACTTGGAGGACCCACTGCCCATATTATCCCAGTATCTTTCAAAAACATTTTAATTTCAAGTTAAAATCTGACACACTTGACAGTGTCGTACATAAATCATTTTTTTCCATTGATGTTAATATTACATTATTACTATTTACAAGTACAGTACAGCACATAGCAGTGGAAATAGGAAAATATTGCATACATAAGTTTTTCAAACACATCTTTATATTTCCACATTTACTAACATGGGAACAGTAAAGCCACACAAAAGATATTAGATGTGACACAGCAACAAATGTAAAACAACTGTGGCAAGTACTGTACATTTAAAACAATGTTGGTAAGTATCTCCATTGTAGATCCCACTTGATCTGACTACTGCTATCATACACTCTAAGTCCACAGGATTGAACATTCACGTTGATCTCATATAGAGACAGTAAGGCTGCTTGGTACCCTTAAAATAATGTATTTCATACATTTCTATGGTACTGACAACTCGGCCACTGAAATATATAATTATTTTCCAGAAACATCTGAGTAAGGTAGTTCTTTCTATTCTACATATATTTACATTCACTTCATGTTTTAAAACAAAGTTTAACCTTAAAAAATCTTTGGCTCCTCCTTGCTACAATGTATCCCATTTGTTCTTGTATTAATAACTATGTAAACAAATAAATTAGCATGAAAAATCATATTTTAATGAAGGTACTGGCAGAAAATTATTGAGGCCAAGGGTATAATTACCACAGTTTGTTGTGCTTTTCAATACTGATCATTTACATCTGCAGAGATCTGTAAACTTAGTTTCTAGTGTTTGTTCTGAATGGTACTGTACTCTATATACTTCTGTGGATAGGATAGTATAAATTATTTTAGTACCAATTACCTGAAGAATTAAAGCTCCACTGGGCACTCAGAATTCCAAGATGTCCCTCGGCATGACCTTAAAATGCCTTTTTCCATTTCATCCACAGCCTCTGTTCAGGACAGTCTTCCTATGTGTCAGTTGCTGTTGATTTGGACAGGGTAACTGTGCTGATCTCAGGCCTGGCAGACAACACACACACCGTGCTCATTCTGTTTAGTGAAGTGGCTTTAGTGATACCTTCACTGGCTACAGTGGACAGGGGAAAACTCTCATAACTTTCTACAGTTCTGTTGCCACACTGGCACCGCTGTAGTGTAGACTTGAATTCCCTTTGGAAATTGCTGTTGAGGAAACCATACACCACAGGGTTGATGCAGGTGGAGGCCATAGCCGTCAGGTGGCAGGCAGAGAACACTGTGTCATGCTGACAGTCCGGCAGGGCCTGGTGATGCCAGTCAAAAAGAGTGTTGAAGACATTGAGAGGCAGCCAACACAAAGCAAAGGCGACCACAATGGCTACCAGCATCACATTTATCCTCTGGGCCCCTTGGGTCCTCCTGCTGCGCTCCAAAATGTCCCTGGAAAAAAGAAGACCCCTATTGTTTGACACTCACAAACAAATATCACACTGTATCTAGGGTGACAATGCTTACTAGGAAAGCACCCAATATATAAGAATAGAGTAAAACAGAGCTAAGAATGTTGTTGTATGAGCTGTTAGAAAATTTACCTGCGTCGCCTCAAGCGAAGGAAGATTCGAAGGTAGCACAGAAGAACCAACAGCAGGGGAAGACAGTACTGGAAAAGCAGCAGCGATGTTGTGTAAGCAAGACGATGTTTGTCTGATGGCCACAATTCCATGCAAATAAGATGGTCCCTTTGGCAAGAAACAAGATGCAATACATAGTCACTCTTTTGTTTGAAGTATAAAATTAATTGTATGTACTTTTGTTCACATGAAATGGCTTCCACTCACAACATTGCCCAATTCACATTAACATTTTCTGTATGCACTACATGTCCATTTGGACCAAGCATTGTTTGTGAGCACTGTGAATTCAAACTCTTGTGTCTAATAAATTCAACAACTGTAGGCTATTTCTTTTTCTTTTGCTGATTAATACATAAATGAGCAGTTAACCGTTTGCCTGCATGCTGTTGTGTGCAGGTCTGTACTTCTCTGTGAGAACCTGAAAGGGTTGCTGGGGAGGCTGATGTTTTGAAAGGGATCGTTAGTGAGGATGTTGAAGGAGAGGAAGGGCAGAGAGATGAAACAGGCCACGAGCCAGGTCAGTCCTACAGCCAAGTATGAGTGTCCAGCAGCAGGGGACCAGCCCGTGGGATGCAGAATCAGCTGGTGCCTCTCCAGAGCGATCAGCACCAGTGAGAAGATGGACACAGTCACTGACATGCACTGGACAAAGGGAGTCACCTTGAACAGGGAAAATACAAGCACAGAGCTGCTTACACACAAGTGGAAATAGTACTGTTCATAGAATCTATACATTTTGGTTTAATCTGCTGATACTCTAGTGCCAATACCAGTGCACACACTAAAAGTATGTATGCATATGTGTGTATATACACTGCTCAAAAAATGAAAGGAACACTTTAAAAACACATCAGATCTCAATGTGAGTGCCTCAAACTCTACAGGAGCTCAGTGAGCCCTTAAACAGATCTGGGAGGACATCCCACAACACACCAACCGTCATCTCATTAGGAGCATGCCACAACACTGTCAAACATGCATACAAGCACATGGGGGCCACACAACATATTGAAGGTCATTTTGAGTGGCAGAAATAAAATTTTGGCAAAATGAACTAGCCTTCCACGTTATTATTTCACTTTGATTTTCAGGGTGTCTATAAAATTAAGCCCTCTGTAGGCTGAAAATGTAGAAGAGGTAGAATAAATATTAGAACTAATACCAGGTTTAGTATTTTATTTCCAACACCTAATAACAGCATTAGTCTCATTTGTGACTAAAAGACAAAAACTGGCTGTGTGACAACCCATTTACTTTGTAATCTAGCAAGTAAACAAGTAAACATTTAAGGTGGAAGTGACTAGATCTCATCAAATGCCATAATGTTGTTAAGCACAGGTAATGCACAGTATATAGTATGAAAAACACAAACAATTCAGAAAATATTTTTTACAACAGATGAACACTTTGGACCTAAAGTCAGCCTGTCTGAAACAGGATGAAAAGGCATGTGTGATGTTCGACTGCCAGTTTGTCATGGTTAAACCCCTTTATATGGTGCTTTGTGCTTGTTTGTATAGTCATTCAGCCCAGTCTAAACCTTTTGTCAGTTGTGTTATTTATATACTCAATGTAGTTGTGCTTGTGGTGATGCACTGACCTTGCATAGAGCCTCTCCCAGCACCCAGCGGTCCATCAGGGTGTATATGACCGTGACCGGCAGACACACTACACACATGAGGATGTCGGAGCATGACAGGTTGGCTATTAAAATGTTGGTGACATTACGTAACTCCTGTTGCCGAGCAATGATGAACACCAATCCTGCATTGCCTAGCAACCCAATAGCTATAACTGTGCTGTACGCCACAATCAAAAAAGTGGCTCCGCCTACTGAGGGTGGGCACTGGCTGGGATCTGTCCAATCAGAGGGTCCCCAGAAAGTGAGCAGTCCACTTTTATTAGACATGGCACAGAAAGATGTGGAAACTGTGTTTATTATAAGATTCAGGGGAATAAATTCCGTGTATGGGCAAAATTACTTAAATTTAAGTGATCAGTCTGCTCCAAGTGAGTATATAGACAAACAGCTATTATCAGTTTCAATACAGTTTTAAAGAGATGCCTTATGTAAACTTTGTCATGGGGAGTGCGAGTGGGGAAAGTAATCTTTCAAATATGGATGCTGTCCTCGTTTTGCTCCATTGTTGACATCCAACCAGATAAACACATTATCACTGTTTTCCTGTGAATGACACAAAACAGAACAAATGTGAGAATGTGGACAGACAGTGGCCAGTGAATAGGTTGCCTTCACGTTCTAGAATTTGTTGTCAGATGGAGAGCAGGAGCCTATTCATGGGTTTCACAGTAATGAAAAATTGCACCATTGCCCTAGCATCTTAATTAACAGTTTAATTCTCCCATAGCATTACAGTACAAGTTTAAACTATGGGGATTGTAGAATGTTTAAATATTATGTGTACATAACCTTTCAATGGGTTTCTAACAGATGAAAATTAGTACCGGTGACACACAGCAATTAACAATTTAAAACACAATATTATATCTTCAGTTTCCAAAATGTCAGATGTAAGAGGATGCTGCAACCCACGTATAGGTTACACCCACATGACATGTAAACATTATTCTGGATAGTGAGTGCAGTTTAATTAGGCTTG